GACAGAATTAAGTCCACTCAGGGTTGGGCTGAGAGTCAAGCACAACCAGGAGCCCGGGCTGGAGGCCCTCACCTCCCCTCTGCCTTCCAGAAAGGCAATGCCCTGACTACATGGAGTTCCGCTCTGTCTGGATTGGCCTACCACTCAGCTGTCCAGTGCCCTATCTAGTGGCACCAGATGCCAGCTTATCATCAAATAATATCACCCCGCTTCACGAGGAGGGCTCTCAACCCTCATCAGCTTCATCCTTGCCATATTGATGCCATCAAGAAGATGATTGGTGCCTTCAAGTACTACCCTATCAAGATATGGACCTTCAAGCCACGAACTTCATTCACCACACCCTTACAAGTTGCGAGTGCGTCGCCCTAAGACACAGCGTGGACCGGTAACCAGACAGGCCGGGGCCCTAGCCACCCCACGCCCCCTGATCCTCACCAGCAGCTCTGGAATCCACGCTGGGGGAGGGGCCTGAGCCAAGGGCTTATGCCAAGGAGTCAAATGCAGATCTGAACCCAGTGGTTCACAAGGAAGACCAAGGGGACGTAGCTCTAATAAGAGTCACGGATTAGTCATCAGGGGGCACCAGGGATACCCCGACCCCAGGAAGGAGTAAGGCATGCTTTGCCTCAGTGTGGGGTAATGTGGAGGCCACACCTATCAGGAGTGCCACTCAGGGGTTCCTGCTGCAGGCCAGAGATAGACTTGATGATGCCTGAAGTCTCTCCCAGCTCCATCAAGTCATGATACGATGAGGCCTCCCCAAGACAGTGCTGCCCATGTGGCCACATACCGTGTAAGGTGAGACCACACCTGAGGGATGGACATCCACACAGATGGAAAGATGTCCAGAGTGGAGGCTCTGCCGACCATGCCATCTGAGAACAGTTGGAAAACCGGGGCTTATTCAGCCTCTTAGGGAGATGAGTTATGAGAGAAGGACTGTCATGTCACAAAGGAACCGTGTTCACCCTCTGAAGCCACAGGATGTAGAGCTGAATGAGGAACAGGGAGCAGAAACTCCAGGGAGCCAGATGCTGGCTGAATTTAGGGAAGAACCTATAATGGTGGGAGTTAACCACCGTGGGAGTTCTCGGCCTGCTTGGTTGGTAGCAAGTTACTTGGACACTCTCTGGATGTCCATCTGCCAAGGGTGTTGTAAAAAAGGATCCCTGTACAGATGGGGTCAACCTGATAACACCCAGTGCCACTCCTGTAGAGTTACTTTCTGGCCAAAACACCTGTCATCTATAAGTTAGGGCTTCCCATAGAGTCTGAGCCTCCTTCATAGTCATGATCATGCCCCTAAGAGCCTTCAGTGGGATGTGCCCAGAGTGCCCAGGGTGCTGCAGAGCAGGAGCAGGAAGTCTATGTACACATCTCCAAGCACCAAGGCTGGACTCACAGAGAGCAAACTGAGGTCCAGAGACCACCCAAGGTCATGCCAAGCCTCAGTTTCCCTGGCTCTAAAAGAGGGCTCTCAATGCAGGCCCTGCTGGTGTCCTGGGACTCCTGTGGGGTTTCCAAATCTATACCCGATTGAGTTGAAGGAATTAAGTGGGTAGTAGGTTGTTCAGCCCCTTAATACATTCCTACAGGTAAAAAAATCAATCATAATATTTGAAATAGAAAATATATGCTGCACAATTATTATGTGCCCTACTTTAGGCCTTGTGGAAGATAAAGATGTCCTGCCTTCAAGGAGTTCAGTTTTGATTATAACCCCTTCCCTCTGTGACTGCACTGATTTTGTAAAGAAGTCCAGACTTATTTTTTTCTTTCTTTTTTTCTGCCATTAATTTTGAATTATTCCACTAAAATCTAATGACAGGTGATGCTACCCTTTGTCCTGAGCCAAGGCATGTTGCTTGCCCAGAGGGGATCCTACCTGCAGGCAGGCCCTTTTCATTCTGCCCTGGAGCAAATCCTGCCTCTGTGGGGAAGCCCCATCAGGGCCCTCTTACGTGCTTGTATCTTCTAGACTGTAGATTCAGTGTTGCATTGACATAAATTTTACACAAACATAGCTTCTAGAAGCACACATCCTTGATCTCTTTTAGAAAAAAATTCAAATTCTGTGTTTTGTTTTGTTTTGTTTTGTTTTGAGACAGAGTCTGGCTCTGTCGCCCAGGCTGGAGTGCAGTGGCGCAATCTCGGCTCACTGCAACCTCCACCTCCTGGGTTCAGGCGATTCTCCTGCCTCAGCCTCCCAAATAGCTGGGACTACAAGTGTTTGCCACCACACCCAGCTAATTTTTGTATTTTTAGTCGAGGCAGGGTTTCACCATTTTGGCCAGGATGGCTTCAATCTCTTGACCTCATGATCTGCCCGCCTCGGCCTCCCAAATTTCTGGGATTACAGGCGTGAGCCACCACACCTGGCTGCTTTGGCCATTCTGAGAATCATCTATCCACAGGAAAAAACAAACCCAGGGGTGCTCTAGGAACAAGGGCCGTAGGAGCATATAAGGTGCGTTATGAGGGATATAATGAAGCCACCTGTTCCCAAATAGCTTCCCCTCTGGCTTTGCCCAGCTGCCTGATGTCACCTCATTCTTTGGGGTCATACTATTGTCATGGTTCTCAAAATGTGGTCCCTGGACCAGCAGCATCAGGGAACTTGTTAGAAATACAAATTCTTAGCCTCCTACCCCAGACCTGCTGAATCAGAATCTCTGGCTGGGCACAGTGGTGCACACCTGTAGTCCCAGCTAGTCAGAAGGTTGAGGTAGGAGGATCACTTGAGCCCAGGAGTTTGAGACCAGCCTGGACAACATAGCCAGATCCTGTCTCTATTTCTAAGAAAGAAAGAAGAGAGAGAGAGAGAGAGAGACAGAGAGAGAGAGAGAAGCAGCAGAAGCAGAAGAGGAAGAAAAGAGAAGATAAGAGGTGAGGAGAGGAGGAAAGAAAGAAAAAGGAAAGGGAAGGAAGGAAGGAGAGAAAGAAAGAGAGAAAGAAAAGAAAAGAGAAAAGAAAGAAAAAGGAAGGAAGGGAGGGAGGGAGGGAAGGAAGGAAGGAAGGAAGGACGGACGGACCCTGGAGTAGGGTCCACCCTGACGTATATTAAGTCTTCCAATTGATTCTGATGCACTCTTAAGTTTGAGAACCATCGCTCTGTTGAACTATTAGTAATAATGGGCCATTATTGACCATTAAACCCCAGTAAGATTAAATTTTCAGTTTCTTCACAGAAAGTAAAGGAACTAGAACTAGGACAAGTTAGTTTTAATTAAGATAACATGGAAAGGAAAATTCTACACATTTAGGAGACTGGGATGAGGGGGACGAACTGTGGAAGGTTTCTTTCCAAGTCCATGGGCCACCTACTCAGTAATGGGCCCATAATCCTAGTTTTACTGCGAGGCCCAGTCTTAATATAGTATACTCTCACTCTTTGTCACTCTTCATCATAAAAGCTTGTTTGGGGGCACTCTCTTTCTGTTTGCTTTTGCTTCCATTGTAACTGATTTGTATTCTATTTATGAATGCTGCACACACTGATTTGGCTGCTTTCAATCCCAAGTGAGTACCACTTTGTAAACACTGGAATTTTAAAATGTTTGATACTTGGACCCTTTCTAAAATTTTCCAGGTTCTATTTCTTTCATCTTCATCTCAAATGGCTTTCAGATAAACCCTACAGAGTTCTTGATATAAAAGAATTGATAAGCATAAGCAGAAGACATCAGAGGTGGTCTGAAGACATTGGGTAGTGAAAAAGACATCTGAACTCCCCAGGCTCAAGCATCAGCCAGGAGTTCTCTAGCATTTGAGTGAGGACCCCTGAGGCAGCCTTCCTGCCTGGCTTCTCTGTCGCCATCATTAATTGCGCATCATGTTCTTTTGGTCACTGATGTGAGGAAAGGCAATAGAACCCCAATTTCTAATAAATGAAGCCTTCCTCAGAACAATCCTAACAAACCTCTGGGTTTGTAGAGCTTCTAGGAATATTCTGCCATGGGTCAAGATGAAATTCCTTAGCCCCCCAGCAGGCATGGGAGTGAGCAACATAGCAGGGCTCTGTGGTCACATCAGCCCTATGGACAGCTTGTTGGAGATTGGGAGAAGCCCGAAGATAGACCTCTTCTTCTTTCTGGGTTTCTAACTGCCTGTGTCAGCCAGCAGGAGCCACATCGGGCTTACACTGCATTTCAGACATATTGCTGGCAAGCTGGCTGGCAGGCCTGCTCCCTGTCTCCACAGACCTGCTGCAGAGGGACTGCTTGCCTCTGCCTTCACTAGAGGAGGATGGTGAGGCGGGCCTGGCCTTTGCCTCTACCCTTGCAGTTCAGGAAGAAGAGAGAAGGCAGCAGGCCTCCAAAGCCTGACTTCCCATGGGTGGCCACATCCCGGGGGAGCCTGGCCCTGCGAATGAGGAGCAAAGGAAGCAGGACAGACTGCAGAACAGGGGAACAGAAGGGTCCACATGGAAAGGAGAGACAGATGACTGTGGTTCCTTGAAACTCTCCCTGTAGACCTTCATGTGATCCACATACGGTTAGGGACACTGAAGCCAGGGTAGGGAAGTATCCATCAAGGTACGCAGAGAGAGCCTCTGAGAGCAGCACCTTTGGGTTCCCGATTCTGCTTCAAAACCTGGACTTTGGTTTAACTTTTCTCAACTTGCACTTGGCAGATTAGAAACGATAATATCAAAGCAACAAGTTCTTTCAGGCCTAGCTGACCTTTAATAAAAAGCACATATGCGCTGGGTGCAGTGACTCATGCCTGTAATCCCAGCACTTTGGGAGGCTGAGATGGGCAGAGCACTTGAGGTCAAGAGTTCAAGACCAGCCTGGCCAACATGGTGAAACCCCATCTCTACTAAAAATACAAAAAATTAACCAGGCGTGGTGGCATGCGTCTGTAGTCCCAGCTATTCGGGAGGCTGAGGCACAAGAATCGCTTGAACCTGGGAGGTGGAGGTTGCAGTGAGTTAATATCATGCCACTACACTCCAGCCTGGGCAAAAAAGAGGGCTGGAAGGGAAGGAACATATCTGTGGAGGTGAACAGGGCAGGGAAGTTCACGGTGTAGAGCTGGGAAGTTTATAGGCTCTGGGCCAGCCTTCCTGGGATGGGGTCATGGCTCCAAGTATGAACTGTGTGACCTTGGGTGAATTATATAACCTCTCTGGGCCTCAGTTACCTCATCTGTAAAGTGGGCATACTTGGTGAAGATTTGGGATTTAAACAAATGAATATATATAAAGGCTTGGCATAGTGCATGGCATAGAGTAAGTTCTTTGAACATTTTTAAGTCTAAAAGCCCAGTGGCCAGTGGGGATTCATAAGGCACGTTATCCTCCAGTTTGTCTTAGCACTTTGTCTTGGTCCCAGATTCCTTATTTCAGTTTTTAAAACCAGCTGTTCGTCGTCAGGCGGGTGCTCTCCTGGCCCAGCTGGTCTGTCAGAGCTGTGGCCCAGGCTCGGTCCCAACAGCCCTTCCCTAACTGGGGCAAAGTGAGGAAGGTGGAGAGGGAGCTGCCCTCACAGTGGAAGCCAGGCCTTGGCTCTAAGGAACTGGAAGGAGATGCGAAGGGGTTGGGAATGCAGCTCCCAGCCCCACAGCTGCTGACCCTGCCCCATGTCATGTGCTCATCCACAGTGAATACAACCATGTTCAATGCTTCAGCCCCACTGGCACCAGACACCAACGCTTCTCTGGTAAGTCCTTTCCTCTCATGTCAGACATTTGAGTGCTTTTGTTTGTAGGAGGAGGGAGAAAAGATTTTGGAAATGAGACCAACTTATAGCCACCCAGACTTGCAGAGGTCAACTCCAACCTCACGTCAGGGTCACCTGCAGAGCTCTGTAGATGCAAACTTTTTTCTTAGGTATATACTGTAAACATCCCACTTAAAAACATGCCTCATTCTGTTAAATCCATGTTTTTTGTGTGTTTTTGTTTTTTGTTTTTTGAGACAGGGTCTTACTCTGTCGCCCAGGCTGGAGTGCAGTGGTGCGATCTTGGCTCACCGCAACCTCCACCTCCCTGGGTTCAAGTAATTCTCCTGCCACAGCCTCCTGAGTAGCTGGGATTACAGGCACGCACCACCACACCCAGCTAATTTTTTGTATTTTTAGTATAGACGGGGTTTCACCATGTTGGCCAGGCTGGTTTCGAACTCCTGACCTCAACTGATCTGCCTGCCTTGGCCTCCCAAAGTGCTGGGATTACAGAAGTGAGCCACCACACCCAGCCCCATGTATACTAATAATATGATACAAGCCAGGTGTAGTGGTACACGCCTGTAATACCAGCTACTCGAGAGGCTGAGGCACAAGAATTGTTTGAACCCAGGAGGCAGAGGTGTGGTGAGCCAAGATCGCACCACTACACTCCAGCCTGGGTGACAGAGCGAGACCCTGTCTCAATAATAATAATAATAATAATAATAATAATAATAATATGACACGCACACAGAGGAAGGGGAGGTAGAGGTGAGGGATGGTAAATAGGGCCGCACAAAGCTGTAAGCAAAGCCTCCCATTCATCTTTTTGCCTTCTTCCTTCTCTTTCTGCCTAGGACCCCCAATTTCCAACAGTGCCACTCTCCAGCCCCAGAGAGTTTATTAGTGTTTCTTCCTCAATGAACCTAACGTGTTCTTTGCACACCTTAGTCTCTGGGGCCTAAGGTATGGTCTGCCTTTCCCAGTAATGACGGTGGTCTTTAGGAACCAGCATCCCAGCCTAAGTGGCTTAACGATAGAAGTTCAATTCCGGATGAATGTAGCACCTGGTAGAACTTGGGGGCCAGACTTGCAGAGGTCAACTCCAACCTCACGTCAGGGTCACCTGCAGAGCTCTGTAGATGCAAACTTTTTTGTTAGGTATATACTGTAAACATCCCACTTAAAAACATGCCTCATTCTGTTAAATCCATGTTTTTTGTGTGTTTTTGTTTTTTGTTTTTTGAGACAGGGTCTTACTCTGTCGCCCAGGCTGGAGTGCAGTGGTGCGATCTTGGCTCACCGCAACCTCCACCTCCCTGGGTTCAAGTAATTCTCCTGCCACAGCCTCCTGAGTAGCTGGGACTACAGACATCAGCCGCCATGCCTGGCTAATTTTTAAATTTTTTGTAGAGACAGGATCTCACTATATTGCCCAGGCTGGCTAACTATCAAATTTTGAGAGAGAAAGAACAGAATCAGTCAGTGCCTATTTCTGAGTCCCTATTATATGCAAGGGGCCATGTACACTGAAGGCTAAAAAAGACATCTGAGAAACCAACGTGGTCCTTGTCCTCAATTTTGTTTTTAATATATTTGTGGAGAAGAACTTGAAAAGTTGTGGGACAGCATAAGCAGAATACACCATGCATTAAATATAGGCCAAATGTGTACTTCAGTCTTGAAGGCAGGAAAGGAGGCTGCTGGAGAGGCCAAGGAAAGCCTCAAAGAGGAAGTAGAATGCGATCTGGTCTTCAAGGTTGGGAAAAAGTTGACTCAGCAGAGAAAAGCACATTCCAGACAGAAGGAACAGCATAAACAGAAGGACAAGAGAGGAAAAGCACAAAACCTGTGCAGAGGCTAGTGGGTGGGCTAGGCCAGCTAAGACGGGGTGAAGGTGGGGCTCGGACAGGCAACCACAAGAGACAAGCCGGGAAAGAGATGTGGGGCCAGACCAGTGAGGGCAGCAGAGGAATGCCACCCTGGAGGGGACATTTTAAGTTGCTTTGGTGATTTACTTTTATATATATAATATGATTTATATTATATATAACATATATAATTTATATTAAAATTATATAATTATATATTATAATATATAATTAATATATAAAAATAATTTATATATAAAAATTCACTGTTGTGTACAGCCTGGATTTGAGGCATCTGAGACACCAAGGTGGGGAATGGCTGAAATGACCCAAGAGGGGACTGACAAGGGATGTGATCCCCCCTATGTGAAAGGATGTGACAGAGGGGAGAGAATAAAGATGAGACACTCCAGGAAGGAGGCATCCACAGGACCTGTGGTTGGTTGATGGGAGCCAGGCCTGCTGAGGGAGAAGGCATCCTCTCTCTGCACTTTTCCTCCTTACTAGCACAGCAGTGCATCCTAGAACACAGGGAAGAAACACATGTGAGCTCCTAATCTTCCCAGGGTCCCCAGGAACATCACTGTGTTGCTGAGGACACCATCATGGCCGGGAGGGCTGGGATCCCTCAGAGGGTGTGGGAAGGTATGCTGGCTGCCTGGGGACTGCAGTGGGAAGGACACAGCTGACTCATCAGGAAGATGCTGACCCATTGTCTCCTGTGCTTGGTCTCCAAGTACAACCCCCTTAACCTCACAGCGTTGGATTGGTCCCTGCTGAGCAAGAAGGAGTGTCTGAGCTATGGCGGGCGCCTGCTTGGGAATTCCTGCAAGTTTATCCCAGACCTGGCGCTCATGTCCTTCATCCTTTTCTTTGGGACATATTCCATGACCCTGACCCTGAAGAAGTTCAAATTCAGCCGCTATTTTCCTACCAAGGTAAGCTCACCCTGCAGTTAGGAGGGGACCTGCAGTCAGACTGCTGCTGAGTCCCCAAGAGAGGGTTCTGGTCCACCCATGGATGGACTCCACATGAGCACTGGACCACTGGGGTTTTTCAAGTTAAGTCAGAGAGAACTGTGTTCCCTTGTTGGCCGGTCCCCTTAGCAACACTTGGTATCGTCAGGCTTTTATCTTTAGTCTTTGTCTATAGTATTATCTCATTGTGTTTTAAAAATGTTTCGTTTCCCTGATGACTAATGAAGTTGAAAGCACAGCTATTCCTGTGTTTATTGGCCATGTGGCCAGTTGACTTTCTGTTTGGAAGTGTCTGTTGAAATCCCTTGCACATTTTGGGTTGTCTGCCTTTCTGATTTGCAAGAGTTTTTTATATATTCTGGGTAGAAATGTTTTTGTGATTATATGTGTTGTGAAATCTCCCACTCTGTGACCGTTTTTTTCTTCTTACATCCTTAATGGTATCTTTTGATTAACAGAAATTATTAGTTTTATTGTAATTGAATATTCAAACTTTCCTCAAGGCAAATACTGGACAGCAGATATTCTTGTATGTTACCTTCTAAAAGCTTTATTGTTTTTCCTTTCATGTTAGATCTACAGTCCATCAGAATTGATTTTGATGTGTACTGTGAGGTAGTGTTTCTTTGTGATTTTATACGGTCAATTGTTCCACTATTTTTTAAAGACTATTCCTTCTCCATTGCTTTGCAATACTTCCTTTGCCATATATCAAATGTTCCTATATGACAGGGTCTGTTTCTGGGTTCCTTATTTTGTTTCATTAGTTTATTTATATATCAGTATGACAGTCTTAATTTCTGTAGCTTATAAGTCTTTATATCTTTGTCTCCCAAACTCTCTCTCTCTTTGTCCTTTTTATATAATATTTTCTTGGCCCTTTGCATTTCCACATGAATTTTAGAATCATCTTAAATTTCACCAAAATGAAAACTTGTTCAAATTTGATAGGATTATCTTTGACTCTGTTTGGGAAGAATTGATGTCTTTCAAACTTTGAGTTTTCTGATTTATGAATACGGTATACTTCATTTATTTTGGTCTTCTTTCTCTCCATGATGTTTTATACATTTTGATCTTGAAGTCTTGAACATTTTGTGTTAGATTTATTTCTAGATACTTGATTTTTTTATACTGTCGTAAATGCTAACTGCTATTTTATTTTTTATTTTATTATAAAAATAATTATAATCATATAATCATAATTATTATTATTTTGAGACACAGTCTCACTCTGTCACCCAGGCTGGAGTGAAGTGGCATGATCTTGGCTCACTGCAACCTTCACCTCCCAGGTTCAAGTGATTTTCCTGCCTCAGGCTCCCAAATAGCTGGGACTATAGGCGCCTGCCATCACGCACGGCTAATTTTTGTAATTTTAGTTGAGATGGGGTTTCACCATATTGGCCAGGCTGGTCTTGAACTCCTTACCTCAGGTGATCCCCCAACCTCAGCCTCCCAAAGTGCTGGGATTACAGCTGTGAGCCACTGCACCTGGCCCTAACTGCTGTTTTAAATTTTATTTTCTACCAGTTTGTGACTGGAATAAAACATTTATTAAAACCGCACTTGAATATGTAAACAGTGACTGTGCTGTGGGGTGGGAGGTACTCAGAAGAATTTTAGCAACTCTTTCCCACCATAAACTCCATTAGCACTCTCCTAAAGCCATCTTAACTAAGTATTACAGCTGCTACTGCTACTACTACTAATCATAATGATAAAATCTTTGATATAAATAGTTGAATTTTTCCCAAATTTTCTAAAGACTGAATAAAAGGTGCTTTAGGAAGCTTTGCAGTATGTAAACTGAGTAAAAAATAGTTTGCTTACAACACGAGTGCATCCTTAAGACGAGTTCTCTTCCTTCCTGCCCACTTCCAGCCCAGAGCATATCCCTATCTCCTTTTATGTAAAAATTCTCAAGCAGTCGCTGTATCTGAGAATATCTATCTGTTGCCTGTAGGATGAAAAGTAATTCATGTGGCATGGAGTTCTTGCGCCACCAACATTTTTTCCCTCACATTACTTAAAAATTGCTCAATTGCCTCCTGGAATTTTGGGTTGCAGAGAGGAATGAGGCCACACCATTTCATACTCATCAGATTGGTAGACAGATGAAGGTGTTGGGACACCAGATGTTGGAGATGGAAAGCAGTAGGTGGGAGTGTAAACAGATACATCCAATTTGGAGAGCAACTGACACTCTCTGATTAGGTTGGACCATGTGAAGTTGCCCATATTTGACTATTTCGACCTACAAAAAAAGGCAAATTCATGTGGTTTAACTTAATAACCATTCATATGGTTTTGACGTCTATGCTAGGAATATTACAGAAAAGCAAGTATAAACCTAGCACACTACTTGGTTCTACTGTGACTAATATTTATATGATCATGATAATATAAAGCTGTTACTAATTTTCAACTTTTGGATTTGACTTACAGATAAAACACACAAACCATGTGTTTACAGAACAAAACATGAGTGTTCTCAGCTTCGACAATGGAAAGATCAAAGTGGAGTTGTCACAGGAAGGAAGGGGAGGAGGAGGAGAGAGGTGGTAGGAGGACAGGGGCAGTGGTCCTCACCTTGCAAGATGGAGAATGAGAGATATTAGCCAAAGCTAATGTAAAGAGAGGTTTGATTATGTAACTTGAAAGTATAAAGGAAACCCATAGGAGCTTAAAATTATCAAAGATTAGGAATAAGGAAAGGACAGGAGGCATAGTGTAAGTAAAGGGAAATTCTTATCAATAGATAATCCCTTAAGTTAGTAAATGAAAATATTAAAGTATATGCATATTAGTTAATGACATGGAGGGAACCTCCAGAACAAGTAAAATCAAGCAGACATAGTAGATGGATCTAGAAGGTGGGGCTGGATTGAGAAAAGGGGAGGTGGGAGACTTTGCTTTTCCCTATAAGTCTTCTCCACTATGTGAGTTTTTAACCAATTATATATATTATGTTAATAACAAATTTAAAGAGAAAAGGGGGATGCAGGGAATGAAGTCAATGTACTGTCACCTGCCCCTGCCCTTCAAATTGCCTTCTCTGAAAAGATATAAAAAGGCCACAGGGTAGACGTTGGGGGACCTTCTGTCCTGAGACTTCTGGACATAAGTTGGTTTGGAGGGGGGGTCAGAGGACATTGATTCAGAATGGGCAGGAAGGTCAGGTTCAGGACTTGGTCTAGGAAGGGCCTTCAAGTTAAGAACCTGGCCTAGGAAGGGCCTCCTGAGAAACAGAGGAACAAGAGGCTCTTGGTGGACAAAAGGTCTGAGAGTAGTCAATGGTCCCCAGTGGAATTGAGGAGCCTCCCTCCCAGCCCAGGTGGGGTACAACAACCTGTCACAGATTTGTAGGAACTAAGGTTTGCTTCAGAGTTCAGCCTTTGCCCTCATCATACCTGCTGGGTGCCCCAATTCAGACTGTCATACCAGAACACATCTTCAGCAGTGGCTGCCATGGCCACATGGATCATAACAGCTCCCACATTGATCACCATATGCCAAGCACTCAAAATGTGTCACAGGTCAGTTACACCTTTGAGGGAGATACTACCATCATCTCCATCTTACAGAGAAGGAAATTGAGGCTTGGAGAGATGACACGCTTCCCCAAGCTCACACAGTTAGCAAGGAGCAGAGCCCAGATTTGAGCCTAGTTCTGGTGCCTTCAGAGCCCAGACTTAACAGTTCACCTCTTTGCCGCTTGGGGACTGGGACTGCCTGGAGCTGGGTGGGTGCTTTACTCACTTCTTTCACTTGCTCATCTCCTGTCTGCAGGTCCGGGCCCTGGTGGCTGACTTTTCCATTGTTTTCTCCATCCTGATGTTCTGTGGAATCGATGCCTGTTTTGGCCTGGAAACCCCCAAGCTGCATGTGCCCAGTGTCATCAAGGTTTGCCCCTTGCCACCACTCTGGGCATCCAGTCTGCCTGCCTACCAGCTGTAGATTCTTTCCCCTCTGTGCTGATCAAACTCTTCTCCTCTCAGTCAAGAGACCATTTTAGTTCTCTGTGTGCCACCTTTCCTGAACACTGGCTCCCAGGAGCTGGTCCTTTGAGGTAGGGCGGGGAGGGGTAACATATTCACCAGGAAATCCTGATCTGTAGTCTTGAGGTGAGGAAGGCACTGAAATTCACCCTCCAACTCAGCAGAAGCCTCTTGATTTGAGGGTCTCCAGTTCCCTAACCTCTGGCAATCTATAAGCTGGGCCAAATAGGATCTATTGAAACTGGTCCCTTAGAACAGTGATTCTCAAAGTGTGGTCCTCAGACCAATATCACAGCATCACAGTCATGAGGAACTCGTTAGAAATGCAATTTCTCAGCCCCACCTGTGGAATCAGAAAAGCTGGGGGGGTGGGACCAGCAATCTGCATTTTAACAAGCCCTTCAGGTGACTTGGAGTATGCTCAAGTTTGAGAACCACTGCTTAGAAATTACCCACTAGTCTAGAATTGGTGACATATGGTTGTAGCTAAACTCAGCCCTACTCCCTCATAAGAGCACCAACCAGCCAGGTGCAGTGTCTCACGCCTGTAATCCCAGTACTTTGGGAGGCTGAGGCGAGCAGATCACGAGGTCAGGAGACCATCCTGACCAACACGGTGAAACCCCATCTCTACTAAAGATACAAAAAAATTAGCCAGGCGCAGTGGCAGGCGCCTGTAGTCCCAGCTACTGGGGAGGCTGAGGCAGGAGAATGGCGTGAATCTGGGAGGCAGAGCTTGCAGTGAGCCGAGATAGCACCACTGCACTGCAGCCTGGGTGACAGAGCAAGACTCCATCTCAAAAACAAAAAGAAGAAAGAAAGAAAGAAAAAAAAAAGAGCACCAACCATCTCACCAGAGTAGGGAGTCCAGATTCTATAACTTACCCTCCCTGTCTTTAAGGGTTTTTTTGTTGTTGTTGGTTGTTTGTTTTTTTGAGACAAAGTCTTTTTATATATTCTCCTCATTCTTAACATGCAGGACTGAACTGATGTTCAGCGTTTTACAGACAATTCTTTAATGCTCCCAGACAGGCGACTCAGGAGAGGCAGAAGCAGCTGGCCCTGGGCCCACCCATTTCTTTACTCTTTTCTGTTGGGCCTCATTCCTGCTGTTTGTTATTTGCGGTGGGTGACTGTGCTCTCTCTCCTGGCTGCCCTTTGACCTTTACCTCCATGTTTCCTGACCAACCCGAGGGCTGTTGCAGCAAATTACCTCCTTAGTTTTACAGACACTGTTTGAGTGCATGCTCCTTCCCATGTCTGAATTTAGTCTAAAGTTGCAGGTACCTAAGGTGTTTAAGGGAAAAGATTGCACTTGAAAAGTACCCAAAGTCAGGGAAAGTTGAGGAGGTGGGACAGCAGGCCAGGCAGCAAGTGCCCTGGGACAAGAGAGAGAGGAAAGGGCCCCTCTGTTTGCTCCCATTCAGCCCACACGGCCTGACCGAGGCTGGTTCGTGGCCCCCTTTGGGAAGAACCCGTGGTGGGTGTACCCAGCAAGCATCCTGCCCGCCCTGCTGGTGACCATCCTGATCTTCATGGACCAGCAGATCACTGCCGTCATTGTCAACCGGAAGGAGAACAAACTGAAGGTAAGGCCGGTACTAGGAGCAGAGGCATAACCTCTTTCTTCCCACAAAGTCAGAAGGAGCGAAGGGAGGACATGATGCTTCTTTCAGTACTTTGGGCCAGGAAAATATGAGGACAGAAGACTGGAGTTCCCACTTGGTGTGTTGAGGGGGAAAAGTGACCTCCAGGTGTGGGTAAGGCCACCAGGGCTGGAGTGACTTTCTGAGGACCAGGACCAAACTAGGTTGGGCCACTGGGCACAGGCTCTCTGTCTTTCCCTAAGTGGCATCGAGTTCTTATGAGAATCAGCAGATCCTGATGGGGGCTCAGCCTAGAACACTGAGGCAGAGGAACTTCCTTAGCCTTCCTGGTCTCTGCAACTCCCCATCCAGCCTGTGAGCCTGAGAAGACTCGGGTCACCCCCTCCCCCATCCCGGTCTGGACCACTCTAGGTGTGGCCTGTCCCAGCTGGGGCCCCACAGGAACTGTAGAGACCCTGTGGCCACCTTCTGGGCCCTTCTCCCCAGAGACCCAAACCCAGGGCCTCTCCAAGCTTGAACATCCCTCTCTTCTACGACCCATGTCCCTTAGGCAGTTCACCCTTTCAGATGGGGTGGTAGGACCTGCCCACCTCTGCAATCCTTGCAAGGAGCACCTCAGGCCCCTTCAGTATCTTCTGGAAGGCAGGGGGGCCTTGAACCATGTTCCACAGAGTGGCTGCTTCCAGGAGGAACTGGCTTCCCAGAAACTTCTCCCTCCCCCACCCCCACCCCACTCCTGCAGAAGGCTGCTGGCTACCATCTGGACCTGTTCTGGGTGGGCATCCTCATGGCCTTGTGCTCCTTTATGGGGCTTCCCTGGTACGTGGCTGCCACGGTCATCTCCATCGCCCACATCGACAGCCTCAAGATGGAGACAGAGACCAGCGCCCCTGGGGAGCAGCCCCAGTTCCTAGGAGTCAGGTAGGAGGGTCAGGGCCTAGGAATCACCCAACGGGGAGGGGCCCACTCGGGGAGGGGAAGCTGGCTTTGCCTGCCACAAAAGAATTTGGGCTCTGATGGCCCAAGAACCACAGGGACATGAGTGCTATCCCTGGAGGCAGGGAAGGAGAGAGACAGAAGTCCAACTCTAAGTGGGGCTTTTTACCTACTGGGCTCCAAGCAGTATGTATATCCCATCCATAAACATGCACACGTGCCAGACACTCATCTGCATCGGCCACCCAAGGTCCCCACAAGGCCTCATGCTGTCCTGCTCTTTTTCTCTTCCTCAAGACCCTCCAGGCCCCTACTGCCCTGATGGCCCTCTTGTGGGTTCAGGTCCTGCTCAGTCTCCATTCCTCCAGAAGGCTATCCCAGGATCACCCCCACTCCCCGGTCTATGGCCCTGCCTGTCACTCTTGTTCCTTCACTTGCCCCTTCTCTTACACCCCATGGTAGGCAGAGAAGTGTATCTTCAGCCCCTTAGGGCCTCCAGGGTGAGACCACAACAAACCCTGGCATTCACCTACGTGGCTGCCCTAAGAACTTCTCCCACTATCTTGGGATACTTGGGCCACCCAGCCTGCCCGAATGACGCTTCTCTGCCCGACTGCAGGGCTCACCTGCCTCCCACCCCTGACACCTGCTCTGCTGGTGTCCTCTTCTCCAGATCCTCATTCACTGTGCCCCACAAAAATGAAATCTTAAAATCAAAGAGCAGAGTAATAGCATTTTATCTTGCATGTATCCTCGCAACAATAGGTGCCATTATTATCTGCATATACACTGAGGCTGAAGACGGGCAGGCTCCTGCCCAATGCTGCATAACTAGCAAGTGGCAGAGCCAGGATCCAGCCCACATCAGTTCTGCTCAAGCACCCCAGCTACAAGCCACTACACTAAGCGGCCTCCCTCAGTGCCCCTGCAAGATGCCTTGGGGGCTGCCTGTCTTCCCACATATGGTTCAGCTGGGCCTCAGGCAACCAGGCAGAGCTCCACACAGAAGCCCTCGAGGCCATGGCCTTGGACACAAACTTCAGGTGCCCACAGTGAGCAAGAGGGCCGGAGTGGTCACCAGGCATTTCCTGGTACACTCTGACAATGTGTTCTTCTCTGCCAGGGAACAGAGAGTGACCGGCATCATCGTCTTCATCCTGACGGGAATCTCTGTCTTCCTGGCTCCCATCCTAAAGGTGAGGTCCTGCACTCTCACCTAGGGCCTCGTCGCCTGAGAAAGCAGAGTGGATGCCTCAGGGAGGGAGGGGGTCCCCACATGGCTAGGGATCACGGGCGTATCAGCCCCCTAAAAAAGGCACAGTCTTGGCCGGGCATGGTGACTCACGCCTGTAATCTCAGCACTTTGGGAGGCCGAGGCAGGTGGATCACCTGAGGGCAGGAGTTCAAGACCAGCCTGACCAACATGGTGAAACCCTGTCTCTACTAAAAATGCAAAAATTAGTCGGGCATGGTGGCTAAGGCCTGTAATCACAGCTACTCAGGAGGCTGAAACAGGAGAATCACGTGAACCTGGGAGGTGGAGGTTGCAGTGAGCCAAGATGGTACCACTGCACTCCAGCCTGGGCAACAAGAGTGAAACTCTGTCTCACGAAAGAAAAGAAAAGAAAAGAAAAGAAAAGAAAAGAAAAGAAAAGAAAAGAAAAGAAAAGAAAGGGAAGGAAAGGAAGGAAAGGAAGGAAGGGAAAGAAAAAGAAAGAAAGGCACATTCTTACTAGGCCAAAGCAATGTTTCCACACTGTCACCATCGTTTTCTGTGATACTGCAGTTTTTTATCATCACCAATCCTCTCTCCCACCCCTCCCAGGGCCACTCTCACCTTCTGGAGGATACTCTTCCCTCTGAAAGTTCTGCCAAGTTCTAGCCCTGCTTAGATCAGGAACTTCCTAAATGGGGTGTGTGTCCACATTGCTGGAGTGTGGGGCTCATGAAGTTTAAAACTTGCAGCACGAGGCCAAACATGGTGGTACATCCCTGTAGTCTAGCCACTCAGGAGGCTGAGGTGGGAGGATCACCTGAACTCAGGAAGTCTTGGGACTTGGGTGACTTTTTCCCACACAGCTTGAAGTTCCTCTTGCTCATGTCCCACCACAACAGCTAAGAGATTAAGTCAAGTAGGGGTACAATGGAGGCAGGTGTCCCCCACAAGGGTCTCTTGCTGGAGAGACTCCAGAAAGCAAGGGGTTCCCACCAGGCTTCCCTGCTCTCCACTCCAGCCAATCGCCCGTCAATCTCCCTTTCCCTTCATCAGTGCTCACGTAAGACTTTCCTTTCTTGAATTAAGTTTACCTGTAATTGCCTCAACCTTTTGCCGATATTATTTTTCCTCTTTGACTATCTCAAAACAGCTCATGACCAGGCATGGTGGCTCATGCTTGTAATCCCAGGACTCTGGGAGGCCGAGGTGGGAGGATCACTTGAGACCAGGAGTTCAAGACCAGCTTGGGCAACATAGCGAGACCCCCATCTCTACAAAAAATACAAAAGTTAGCCAGGCATGATGGTACGTGTGAGGCATGATCACTTGAGCCCAGGGAGGTCGAGGCTGCAAGTGAGCCCGTGAATCAATGGCTGCTGCACTCCAGTCTGGGCGACAGAGTGAGAGTTTTCTTCTTCTGCTTCTCTCATTATATATAAATATTATAATTATATATATTATATTTAATGTCCTCTTTTTGTGTTTGCTTTGGTGCTCAAGTTCTCGTTAAATCCCTATGCTATCTTTGGGAGGCCTTTGTGACGGTTTTGTTTTTTGTTTTTGGCGTATCCGATCTGATGTGTCAGTGTTTGTGATCGCAGACCATCTCGTTGCTTGTTAACACGCTGTTGTTAATATCTCCTCTTTTTTTCTGTTTTGTGTCTGTTATCTGAAAAAAAATGATTCTAGCATATAATTTATTTATAATCTATGTCCGTTTGTTTTCTTGATGGTGTTGCGTGTTGGCGTTTTCTGGCTGTTTTTTTAGTCCAGCCTACTGGGGAGCTGAGGCGAGGAGAATGGCCGTGAAACCCGGGAGGCGGAGCCTTGCAGGTGAGCTGAAGACTGCCGGCCACTGCAACTCGAGCCTGGGGTACAGAGCGAGACTCCGTCTCAAAAAAAAAAAAAAAAAAAAAGAAAAACCTCATTCAGAGGGCTGACCTTGTTAAGAAACAAAGGCTATAAGAATCATGATTCTGGGCTGATGTATTTTACAATGTCGAAAATTATTTCTGGCCTTTTTGTTGATGATATGTTGTTGTACTGTGCTTTTTTTGTTTTTGGGATTCTCTGAGCAGTTATTTGTAGGAGGCTAGCAGTTGTTTTTTATTAATATGGTGATATTTTTTGTTTTTTTGTTTGTTTTTTTGTTTTTTGTTTTTTTTTGTTGTTTTTTGCCCTCTGTCTGGGTGAATACAATTGTCTACCACAGGTGAGGCCATTAAGATTGTTTATAAATATATTTAATTGAACATGACCAGGGACTATTGCTTTGTGTGTAGAGAGTGGTTCCAAGGTGCCGTTGTGTATTGGTCAATTGTTGACACTGTTTAACATACAAGGTATTTGCCATTAAAAAGCTGTCGAATCAGCGCTGGCGTGTGGAGTTAAACCTTAATCCCAACGCTCTTGAGGAGGCCGAGGCCCAGCTTGAGCACCCCTGAAGGTCAGGCAGTTTCAAGACCAGCCTGGGCTCACATTGCGCTGAAACCCCGTGTTTTTTCGGACTGTAATAATGAATGACTATAATATTTTATAGTTGTTTCCCGGGTTGCTGGTGGCTTACGACCTGCTAGTCCAGGTCTGTACTCAGGAGCTGAGACGGAGGAGATTGGTTGAGCCCAGGAGGTGGAGGCTGCAGTGAGCTGAGATTGCACCACTGCCACTCCAGGCTTGGGCCAAGACAGAGCGAGATTTCCTTCTCAAAAAAAAAAAAAAAAAGACTTCGAATGCAGGCCAGCCCCATGATTGGCGTGATTGTCTGTAATCCTAACACTTTGGGAGGCTGAGGTGGGAGGATCGCTTGAGGACAATAGTTTGAGACCAGAATGACCAACATAGCGAGACTCTGTCTCAAAAAAAACAAAACAACAAAAACAAACAAAAAACCAAAAAAACAAAAAAAACCCTCAAATCCAAGAACAGCCTTCTGTAGGGGCCAAAAATTCCTCTAAAGCCCTTCTAGTGTTGGCATAGTGCTCTGTGCTCTCCAGAGTGCTGTAATATGACCACAAGGAGGAGCAGCCT